TCCCAGCTACTCAGGAGGCTGAGGAAGGAGAATTGCCTGAACCCAGGAGGTGGAGGTTGCGGTGAGCCGAGATCGCGCCATTGCACTCCAGCCTGGGTAACGTGAGTGAAACTCCATCTCAAAAATAAATAAATAAATAAATAAAGCCAGGCATGGTGGCTTGTGCCTGTAATCCCAGCTACTCAGGAGGTTGAGGCACAAGAATGGCTTAAGCATGGGAGGTGATTGCAGTGAGCTGGGATCTACCACTGCACTCCAGCCTGGGTGACAGAGTCAGACACCATCTCAACAACAACAACAACAACAAAGAATAAATGGGCAGTTATGAGGTCAGCATCTCAACCCAGTTCTGGATCTCACTCACCCCTCCCTCCCCAGCTCAGCTACAAGGGCCCTAAATGAGTCCCACAGAATTAATAGTCCGGAAGGAAATTTAGAGGTCACCTAGTCAGTCCAAGTCTCTTATTTTACTGATTGATAGGACACAAATCCAGCATTGAGAAGTGATATGCTCGATGAACCATAGTGGCAGAAATGGCAGGGCCTAAAACCATGGTCCCATTAGCGATTTAGCCATCTATCAGAACCGTGTACAGGGAAGAGGATGAGACAGAGGGAATGGTGTTAAAAATAGTGTGCATATGCTAGGGAAAGCCATCTCAATCCACAATAAACACCTCCAACAGCTGTAGGGCTACACCTACCCAGGGCCTCCAACCCTTTATCCACACAGAAAAACAGCGACTGATGTCCAGTGACAGATTTTTTTTTTTTTTATATTTAAAAACAAAACCAACCTCCCTCCAAATAATCCCCAAACAAACAAAAACCAGATTAAATAAAATTTACAGTGAATATACCCAGCAAACATCTGTATGTGCAATTAAATACTGTGTCAGTTACTGCGGCACGAACCTCAAACAAACAATATACAAGTGTTTGGGGAGAGGAGGTCGGGGGAATCCCAAGTTTTAACTCTGTGGGGTCTGAGAAGACAAGATGGGGAAGTGAGAGAATGGGGAAATCAATTTTGTTTATCTTAATTCTGTCCATATAAATATATTCATAAAGACCAAAAAAAGGAAAGGAAGCTTGGATGTTAAGGTAATAGGAGAACAGTAGAGTGTGGGACTTTCCCATTTCTACCTGACAAAAAAATATATAAAAGAAATTAATTTTATGGTGGGAGAAGACATTTAAAAAATGATAGATGATGATGGGGGCCCAGCACAGTGGCTCACACCTGTAATCCCAGCACTTTGGGAGGCCAAGGCAGGTGGATCACCTGAGGTCAGGAGTTTGAGACCAGCCTGGCCAACATGGTGAAACCCCGTCTCTACTAAAAATACAAA